ACACATATGATGAAATCGTATTATTAAACTAAGGGCTAATTCCATAAAACTCACACTACTTTTAAATTTTGATCATAAACCCTCCATACTTTAAAAAGTAATCACATTGTCCCAATATCCTGTTTGACCCGTTAACGGATTGTGAAATGACAAATTTGACCTTACTATTTAATATTAAATAAAAAACTAAAAATTATTATTTTTTGAATTACAAAAATACCCTTCTGGTTGTCATCTTCCCTCCCCCCCCCCCCCCCCCCCCCCCCGGCGCCTCTCTAAAACTCTAAAAGGTGCAAGAAAGAATAGATTAAAAATCACTGAATTACCAAGCTTATAGCCATAATCAAATACTCCCTCTGTCCTAAAATACTTGTCCATTTTTTCATTTTGGGATGTCCCAAAAAATCCTATTCCAAAATTGAATGTACTATTTTTTATAACATTTTCAAACTATCCTTTTAACTAAATAACTGCATTAATTACTGAGCACTATTTCGCCTATTAGTAAGGGCATATTTGAAACTTCACTCTTATCAATACAATAAAAAACTATTAAAACTCCACTATCATAAAAAGTTAGATTCACCGTAAAGGACATATATTATGGGACAGAGGGAGTACTTATATAGGTAAAGATATGTGCTTTGTTTATTCAGAATGGATTACCCATATCTATTCCCATTGAATTAATTTTAGCAACTGATTTATTTATTTATTTAATTAATAGAATATAATTCTTCCTCTGTGAATTGGGTTCTTGGATGACCAGTTAGATACCCACGACCTAGTCGCCATTTAGTAATCCTTGCTCGCCGGTTCAATTCGGTCGTTTAGTCTACTAGCTCCGCCGCGTTATCACCACAGCTCATTTCTCGACGCAGTATGATCCTGCCAATGGCGGCGAGGTTGAAGAGATTTATTTGTTTCTCACCGAAATTTGAAGGCAACACCATTTGCACCTTCGCCACCTAAATTGCCGCCATTGTGCCATCGGAGTTGTAGCGACAGACTTCACGATTTTGGCGCGTTCATCCCACGCAACGCGTCAGATCTACTTGCACTAACAGAAGGCGGCGCATCACCTTCATACATCGTTGTTCCAGTAAGAATCACTATCGGAGTCATACTAGACAGACATCCACCATCACCAAAAACACCCTTACCAAACCCCTGAAGAAATAGTGTGGCTTTGTTCCATTGGTAATCGAATTTGGGTTTGGGAAGAAATCATAAGGCAACCTCACCATCGTCCTGCTCTTCTTTGGATTCTCTCTCAACCTATAACCCAATCCTTTGTCTTCGTTTTCTTCTTCTGATGATGAAGAAGCATACTCGGTCTCTTCATTGAGTTGATTCTGCCGCCGTAACTACATAGGAATCTGATGGTGGAGATGGAGGATGGTTTGATGGTGTTGAGAGAAAGAGTGACCATGTTGATTTGGGTATGGTGTTGCGATTGGTGAGAAATTAGGGTTGAGTATTTGAAGATTGTTGGTGCAAGCATGGTGACGAAGGTCACTGTGTAAGGATGAACAAGGTCGTCATTCCGGCGATATATGTCGAAGATAGAGGGATAGTAGGTTTAATGGAACAGAGAGCAGCGACCAGGTGTTGCAGGGACCATTTCGGCGCATAGATTTGGTTTTGGGTCTGTTTCAGAGAAGGGGGTGGGACGCGAATCACCTGCTATAATCATCCTCTACTATCTACCGTTTTGTGGCCTTGGTTTGGCCACGTAATTCTTCATAAAACAAACACTAAGTCCATGTTTGGCAATTACATCACTATTTATATATAACATTTCATCATCATTTATAAGTAACATCACAGAGTCTAAAAAGTAATATCACCATCTATAAAAGGAAACTTCACCACTTTTAATTTCAAATAACACTACCATTTATAAGTAACATTTCACCGCCATTTATAAGTAACATCACGGAATCTAAAAAGTAACATCACCATTTGTTAAAGGAAACATCACCACTTTTAATTTCAAATAATAACATAAATGATATATTGAATTGAGTTATGTTTATATGTGACATTACTTAAATTGCATTATGTGCATACTTTATTTTGAGGGTGAAGATGATTTATTATTTAAGTGGTGATGTTGCTTTTTTGCAAATGGTGATGTTACAAAAGTGGTGATGTTTCCTTTTACAAATGGTGATGTTACTTTTTAGACTATGTAATGTTACTTATAAATGGTGGTGATGTTGCCCTTTTACAAATGGTGATATTACAAAAGTGGTGATGTTTCTTTTTACAAATGGTGATGTTACTTTTTAAACTCTGTGAAGTTACTTATAAATGGTGGTGAAATGTTACTTATAAATAGTGATGTAATTGGCCAAACACGACGTTATTGTCCGTTAGCTGAAGAATGATGTGGCCAAATATGGACCACTTAAAAGTTACAGCAGGAAATGCATGGGAACCTCACTGCAGGTGATCCGTGCCTGGGTGGGGTGAGAGTTGGAGAGAAAGAGGGGTATTAAAGGAGACAAGGGTATTTATGTAATTTTTTTTAAAAAAAAACAAATTTTAGTTTTAAATTTAACTTTAAATAGTAAGGTAAAATTTGTCATTTCATATCGTAGGATATGGATATTGGGGTAATGTGATCACGTTTTAAAGTGCTGGAGGTTTTTTGAAATAAGTTAGGGGTTTATGATCAAAATTTGAAAGTAGCGGGAGTTTTATGGAATTAGCCCTTTAAACTAATGATGGTACTAATTTAATGATGAAGTCCATACATTTTGTTCCTATCATGAAGTTCTTACACACCATGTGGTTTTCTATAATGCATGAATTAGAAAAAGGAGAATGATAATCACTACAGCTAATTAGGCTGAGTTAGTTAGCCAACTAAGTTTAAGACGAACATGTTGAGTATTATTTATTTTTTTTACCTCGACAAGAAATTCACACTCACTTTTGAATTGGGGACTTGAACTTTCGAATTTTTTACTTTACAAGGTGAGTTTTTACTTTAGAAAGTGAGAAGGTACCATTATGTTAGATTTCTTAGTTGAGTATGCTTTGTTAATTAGCCAACTAAATTTAGAATGAGTTCTTCATGTTTTTTTAAATTTCAAATAGAACCCAGAAACTAAGCGAGAAAGAATTCAGATTGAACATTACTTGTTAGAAAATTTTCTATCTGTCGGAATGGATAGAATAAAAAAATAAGATGTTTACTTGTAGTGGCTAATCAAACACTTCACCTTTGCAAAAGCTCAGATCATATGGATCAAAATTATATCCAGTGAGAGATCTTGTAATCAAAACAAAGTTGTGTTGGAAAATTTTAGTGGAGCATCAGTATAAGGTTTGACCCAATCTGAGTGCAAACAATTTTTTGGGATCATGCTGCGGGTGAAAGTTGAGCTTTACTTCAGGGATCGCTTTGCACAGTGTCCTGGGCAAAGTCCTGAATACCTGTTATCAAAAGAGAAAAAAAAAAAAAAAAAAAAAAAAAAAAACTTTGTGCAACCAATTGCTATGTCATCTTTAACAGTTACTATAAAAGTTTAAAAATTATTACACACTCCTTTAAGTTCTCACAAAGTAGCATAGATACGGACACGATACGTTGACTAAGACATGGGTACGGCGTGAATACGGGTACATATATATATAAATTTTTATTTTTATATATTTATTCTGTAATAGTATTATAAAATGTTATTTCATTTATAATTTCTATACTAAGAATTGCTATAAAATGAATTAGAAAATGAAATTATATCATTATTGAAATGATTTTTATATCATATATATACGATTATTTCACTATTTTGTCATAATAGTATTCATATTATTTTCAAGATTAACTTGTGTTAGAAATGTCTAGAAAGTATTGATGGTGAAGTGTGCGAAATAGTAAATTTTTTATTTATTTATGAATACATATATGAAGTGTAAAACACATATTCAAGAAATATTCGAAGTGTCGGTGTCCGGCACATAAAAGTGCTTGTACTTCCTAGTCTCAAACTGAAGTGTAAACTCGAACTAAAATGGTCACAAACTTGAAGCAAATGTGGGGCAAAGGTTTTTTTTTTTAAAGTAACGTAATGTCAAAGTTGTGCCACCTTTATCTCAAATTATTGAGTTAATCGTCAATTCATTACTTTCAATCGAGTCAGTCAATCATCCATCCATTTGAGTTCGTCAATAACTCATCCCTTTAACCAAGTTGGTCAATGACTCGTCCAATTGAGTTGGTCAAGAACTCATACCCCTCAGTCGAGTCCGTGAATGACTCATCCAGTCGAGTTGGTCAATAACTCGTTCCCATTAAATCAATCGAGGCAATGACTCATCCCTTCAATCGAGTCGGTCGATCAATAATAACTCATCCCTTCAATCGAGTTGGTCGGTCAATCACTCATCCAATTGAGTGTCAATATCTCATCCCTTCAATTGAGTCATGACTTGTCCACTCAAATTGGTCGTCACAAACTTGATATAAATGTTATGCAAATTTGATGTAGAAGTGATGCAAACTCGAATTAAAAAGGATTAAAAAAAAATTAAAGGAAAAATGTGCTAAATAAATAATTGCAAAATGCCGTTAAGTGATAATCACGTTTTAGTGAATTATTATTATTATTATTATTTTCCGAGCATTCCCACCGAACTGTAGCACACATTCATGGCATGTAAGAGACATGTAGGATAGAAGATTTAAGTCGATACACACACAATAAGAATATTATAAAGCAAAACTCCCAGTAAAAATTATCGCCCCGGGTCGGGTCCTTATTGGGAAGTGCAGTCTGAGGTAGGGCATTGACCTCCTCCTTGAAATTGAAACCTTCGAATGAGGAGCGGAAAATTCCACAAAGCGTCTCCAAACAAACCAGTCAATTCCAACCGGAGCCCCTCGTCGACTTGGAATCTCCTCTCATTTCCACCGGCAATTGATTGAAGTTAAAAAATACACTCCTAGGTGAAGGGTAATAGAATACAGCAAGCCAAGAGAAAAATTGCAATCTTGAAAGTAAAATTGAATAGAATAATTTTCAAGTCAGGTTTAATAATGTTAATGCATATAACGAGGTTCAGGGCTGCGGTCCAAGATAAAGCCTCCAATAAATGATACCACATTAAGTTATAGTTATTTCAACACCACTGACATAACATCCCTCTCGACCAAAAAAAAAAAAAAATTAGAGGAAACAGATTGATCCAAAATTGCCACCTATAGGTTGAATAAGAATATATATATATGAGTGTACGTATTGAGAAGCTGTTCTGCTACATCACCTTCCTTTCTGTCAACATAGCCAACTTTCCTTTCGGCACTAGGCGCTGACACAGTTGCTGCTTCATTTAGGTATCCTTTCATTCAAAGTTGCTTTTTTAATTTTTCTGAGTTAGCTGTAGCCTGCCGTTGTCGTCTTCTCCAAGCTGGAGTCTTACCAGGGAAAACCCATCTTAATAGTCTCTCCCACGTGTAGCAGCACAAGAACATGAGAAATGCCCATATCATCAGCTTATCCCTCAATGCTACAGGCAAAGGCACCAGTTTTAACCAGTCATTCAAGTCCCGGAGTAAGTCAGAGGTAACAATTGTGAAAAAACCAACGGCGGCCATAAGGGCATACAAAAATGGTTTATTCTCGGAAACACTCTGGTTGAAAGGATGACCCATGTAGTTCACAGCAAAGGTGGCCACCTGAATCATCATGTTTACCATGTATGAAACTGTATTCACCAGGTTGGGGTGGAAATCAGAGTCCGGCTCAATACATTCATCAGGCATGTATTTCTCTGCTTCTTTCACAGAAGAAATCAAGAAAACTAGGTGAAGAGCAAACTGTCCTAGGAGAGAGAGGAAGACATAGGCGCAGAAAATATTAGGATGTGGCCGTTCAGCTGAAAGTGTAGGAAGGGGCCGAGCATGTGAGATAAACAGAAAAAAGGCTGCTGTAAAAACCCCACTGATCGTAGCTTGAACATCACCCAACTTTACACCATCCAAGTACATAACACTCAGCACGTAGGCAGTTGCAAGGCAGTTAAGACCAAGTATCTTGAACATCTGGAGAGTAGTCACCAGGGTACTACGGCCCTGACGAATTATATCAGTGGTTGGGGAAACTGACGCATGCTTAGCTGTAAATGGTGATGCCATTGAGGCATCCCCAAGTTTGACAATGGGAGCTGCGCGACCATCACCCTCCTCATTCATCTCATCCATGAGCTTCTTCAGCTTCTGCCGTTGCATCTCTGCAGCGGTCAAATGGCGGTTACCAGCTGAGTGGCTGGTGGATTCTGACTTTGTGAGAGCTCTACTCTTTGAAGGGCCTTCTCCGTTCACATTGGTAACTTTACCTGCTTCTATCACAGGCTTCGGTTTCTTTTGTTTGGCAGACTTTGTAGTTCCACTTTTAGATGATGTCTCGGATGAAGAGTTATCATTTTGGATTGGAGGTATTGCATTCAATAGCGCCACTCCTACATGTGCCTGAGAAAAGGAAAACATTGACACAGAAAAGCATGAGGTCTTCGTATTTCTTTCTCCGCCTCTTTTGGAGAATAAAAAGAAAGAGGAAACCATAAGGAAATCATCATATCAGTGAGAAAACAAGAACCAACACTGAGGCACTAAATCACAATCTAACTACACCATTAACAAGAGAATGCCAACTTAGGCACCTTGAGCAACCTGAAATGTACATTTCCTTGATTGGACTTTGGGCTCTCAATTAGTGCAAATGGAAACCAAAGAGGTTCACACGACAAAGCATTTTTTTTTTTCTTAGTTGGTACTCACACACATGCCTCTACTCATGCTCGAACCCCCCCGACCTCCCTTTGGGAAGTAAGGGCTTGGTACAGCTAGGCTTGTTGGATGAATGAACACAAGGAAACACCCAGACGGGCCTACATATGATTGTAAAATCTAGAGAGAGAGGGTATTAATTTTATGAAATAAATTGTAGCACAAACGTGCCTTTATCATATCATTTTATGATACTGATCATATATTATATGTCAAACAATATGATAAAAGGCAAGCTCAACAGATTTGAGATGAAACATGCTTCAGTGCCCTACATTCTGTTAGGGCGTGACAGAATGAATTATTATTTAACCGAGTTCCTTGACTTCTATGCAACACCTTTTTTTCAAGATGGTATCCAAATGTATAAATGAGCAAATATTTCTAGAGCAAAACATAAATAAACTATATTTTGAAAACCTATAAAGGTTATTACAATAATCCCTAATAACAAAAATAACTAGGGTAAATTACACTTACCTCCCCTTTAGATCGGGTTTATTACACTAACCTCCCCTGTGCTTTGGATTTTTACAGTTACATCCATTATAAGTGAAGTTAACAGAGCATATGAAATTTCTTGTATGCCCTTCTTATTTTAAATGATTTTTTAATTGGGAATTTTTTGTTTGTTGAAATTACTCTTATACTCGCACAAACTCCTATAAACCCTGATTGAAAGAAGCAAATGTCAATTGCTACCACTGTTTTTCTCAAATCATGAAGTGAGAAAGAACCAAATGTCCAAAGCCCATTCCATTGAATCTCTAGAACGCTTCCTTGGAGCAGGAAGATTGTAGGTCAGTCCGCTATCGGCCTTCGTTTTTGCCACTTCCCTCCTTTTCTAATCAACATGAATCATATTACAGACTATGTATTGCAAGATGAGGCATCTGGGTAGAAGCGACCGTATTGCAAATGAGAGAATATTGATGGAAGGCCGTAAGAGTGTTTCAAGCATTGTCCGGTGAAAGGAACTTCAGAATCCATTTGTGTATTGTATATATTTGCATTTGCTTCATTGCTTTTGAAAAAATCTATGCAAGTTAACTAAAAAGCCAATATGAGGGAAAAAAATATGAAACAAATATAGAGAGAGATAGAAATCAATAAGATAACCAGTTATTCGGGAAAACAGTGATATACAGAACTACAAAATTGAACCTGTTTGTGATGAGTTATGAAGGAAAGAGGTTGAGATGTGCTTCAACATCCCTGATGGGGTGTTATTCCGTCTTCCTTTGTGATTTTGGCTTGCTTTGTTGATTGATGTTTTGTCTAGAGAGAGAACAGAGGATGGACAGCAAGGCGAGGATGAGCACAGCATGAAATGAAGGTGAGAGAGTGACCTCATTTGCAATATTTAAGCACTTGGTTTACATACAGAGAAGGTCGGTCAAGGTTTTTTTAGAGAGAATAGTGGCTAAGAACAGAGGATGGGCAGCAAGGAGGGATTGAGAAAAGTATGAAATGAAGGTAAGCAGTGACTGCATTTGCTTTCTTTAAGCATTTGGTTTAGATAGAGAGAAGGTCAGTCTAAGTTTTTAGAGAGAATAGTCCATTGCTGATTCTAGAGCAAGAAAGGTCATAATGGTTGTCTATGGTTAATAACTGCTTCAGGTGAAGAAGATGCTTGAGCTTGGGTCATGGGTTTTGATTTTAGACACGGTATTGATGGAAGGGGTACAATTGTATTTTTGCACGTGATGTATTGGACAAAAGTGTCTTCACACACATTTAAAGGGCATATTCGTCATATTATGCTTAAAAATTGGCCCCGTTTGCAGTGACTATAGTTGACCGTGCGTGTGGGCAGGGGTGTGTTTGTTAGGGGTAAATGTCATTATCCTAGCCCAGAGTAGATGCCTAGTAAAGAATTTGTATTTCAATGTTGAATTCTGAGAAGCATACACGTATACAGAATACAGAAAAGACACAATATGGACACACTTACGCAATCTCATAACTCCTCAATCTAATATAATAAACACCACAATGTATACACCAAGTATTACTTAGTGACAACTAAAATCATCTTATGAATTATAACTACATAAAATTTATATTATAATCACCTTGTTAACACGGAGAGAGTCATAATAATGAAATATTTTATATGATTCAGAAACTTTAAAGAATAATCATCAAATTCCAAAACCTTAAACTCGTAATTATAGATATTTAATAATATATAACCTGTTTTAGAGCTCCAACATCATTAGTTCCATCGCCGCACATCAGTGTCATCCTCCCTACTGTTTTAAAAGTGGTCATGATGAGTTCTTTTTGCTCCGGTGCAACCCTTGCAAAAACCTGATAGTTGGAATATGTCAAGGTAAAGCAATCATCAAAGATCAGTTTCAAACAAATATTAACAACTTTCACCTTCACATATGGAATGACTTTAAGAACGGCCTGATTCTGCAGCAACATTTCAAAGCAGTCACCTCCAATACAAAGATCATGAGCCTCTGATAAAGCTTCAACCTCATTCTCACTGTACATAAAATAACAGTAAGTAATATAAAGAAGGAAAAAACTAATTACACAATTAGCAATTTCTATTATTTGGTTCAGTAAATGGATTAACAAAAATACTCATTTTTAGCACTAGGACTTGTAGAATCTGGCATACAATGACAAAGCAAGCGTGTCAAAAGCAAGTTTTTAGCACCCGGAGGGCATGTAATATATGGTATAAACTAGAAACAATTATACATAACCAATGAAAAGAAAGGTAAATAAGAGAATAACTTAAACATGATAAGGAAGTCTTCACGATAGCAATAAATGGAATTTTACCTGTAGCTTAGAATCTCAGTCTCATCGGGTGACACCCATTCATATCCTCCATTGCTCTTTGCTGGACCAAGAATCAGCGCTGGTTTTGAAATAATATGAACTTGACTCGCAACATGGCAAGCTGTCAAAGCTTGATCACCAGTAATCATCACCTGACAAAAGAAAACCGTGCTCTCTAAGAATGTTATCCATTTAGACCGCAAATGAAAGTAACCACAAAGAAAACATAAATATAAACATAAATATGATACTGCTATTAGGCTAAGTCATATACATATCACATTGCTGTTGCATGTCACTAGAGATAATCCTTCCATTCAATTTATCAAGAAACACTTGTCACATTGTTGTACATGTCACTAGAGATAATTCTTCAGTTCAATCCATCAAGATACACTTATCCTATTAATTTTGATCTTGAATATTTCAATAAAAATGTACCGCCAATCTAACATTGCTTGATCATTTGACATAGTTTGTACTGTTACAATAAAGATTCACATGAAGAGTCGCCTGTATGATGATGATCTACTTCCTGACACTCCTCTTTATCGCCAATTCATTTGTTTTATCTTAGTATCTCGCCACCTAATTTGCTTTCACAGGTCACTATGTTAGACCATTTACACTTGCTACTAACTTTATCAATCATACTGTTGTCCAATGAAATGTTAGTTATCTTTGCTGCACAATAATTGCTGCCGTGCTTTTACCATCATCTATACTTTAACTTCGTGCCTATTCAGATATTGGTTGGGCAGATAATATTATTGGTTGGCATACTACCGTAGGTTTCTACATCTTTCTTGGAAGCTTTCATTTCTTGTTCATATTGTTTGTGTAAGACATCTTCCCTGGGTTAATATTCAAGAAATTGATTGTCGTTGAATCATTCAACCCTTTTTGTTGTTGGGATACATTCACTGCCCATCTACAATCAATGCTTCAACCTTTTGACTTCTTAATTAAATCCTGTATCATAAGAGATTTTTTTTCCCTCTTGGAAACACCCAGTTTATTATCAAACTTGTGTCTGAACGGGGTGTTAGACATGATGTCATGTGTGTTTGTGCAACATATTTTTCCTTTACAGTCTAATATATCAACAGCAATTGCATACAGTGGCAGAGCTACATTATGTTATTCTTATTTTTTATACAAAATTTTTAGTAATTATAAAAATGCCCCCACTGAATCTCTAAAAAATTCATAAAAGACCTTAATAAAATTTCCAAAATTCAAAAAGACCCCTAATTTCTAATTTTTTTTTTTCTCCAACATAATTTTAAAAAGGGAAAATTCCTTATTAGTCCTACTTTTGGAGCTGGAAGACAATCAAGTCCTAAAAAAAAAAAATTAGGACAAATAAGTCCTAGTTTTACAATTTATTTCCAAATCAGTTCAAATTTATTTTGTTTTCCAACATTACCCTTGATATTACTTTTTTTCTCCTCTCTCTTCTCTGTTTCTCTCTCCCCTCTCTCTTATTTGATTCTAGAAATCTGTTTCTCTCTCTCCTCTCTCTTATTCATCAAAGACAAGAAATTTAGAAACTTCAAAGGTTTTGGGGGCTCCCTCAGGAAAGTCAATATAAGAGGGGATTACTAAACCAAAGTGGTCAGACAAGGAAACTGAAGACAGAAGTCAAGGAATTGATTCATTTCTTACGGGTCTGTAGGAATTTGGTCCCATAGCCCCGAGCGGTGTGCTCCAAATTGAAAGATTCTTCTTATTTTGACAGGATCCTCCACAAGATATCCTGGCCAAAACCTTTACGGGTCTGTAGGAATTTTCTCCAGAGCTTCTGGCAACCCAAAAAAGCGCCTTTGTTCGTTCTTCTGTGTCAATCGAACTCTTCGCGTAAGACGTCGTCCTTCGAAACCCTTCTCAAGAAGGGAAGTCGTTCGCTTTATTCTTAAAAGTCCGCTAGGTGATCTGGAAAGCTCAGATATTTGTGAGAGAGTTTAGAGAGAGAAACAGAGAAGAGAGAAAGAGGAGTGAACCGGAAGAAAAGGGTAATGTTGTAAAATAAAATAAATTTGAACTGATTTGGAAATAAATTGTAAAAGTAGGACTTGTTTGTCCTGAAATTTTTTTTATAGGACTTGATTGTCTTTCAGCTTCAAAAGCAGGACTAATAAGGAATTTTCCCTTTTAAAAATTCAGGGGAAAAAAAAAAATCTTCTCTTCCAGCGGGTCACACAAGATTTTTAGGAAGAAGTCACCATCCCATGTACAGTACCCACCTTTCCATCCATGGGGATGGACTTCATAGAAGGATTTCTACTACTAAGTTACTGCAACCAGTCCATGCATAGGACAACTCTAAGTGATTTTTCCAGTGGATTAGCAGAAAGACATCATTCCAAGAAAAATAAGGAATAAAGTAGAGAAATTATACTGAAACTCTCCAACATTTTCTACATGAAAAAGTTGGGTGACAAACACATTTTAGGTTCGGGACAGTCAAAAGGCACCAGCTGGTCCATTTCTGGCAAAAGCACAAGCTACACCATATTTAATATTTAAATTTTCACAATGGTATGGTCGCTCCATTGTGACCTAGAGGTCATGCGTTCAAAACAAGGAAACAACCTCTCCGCATGCGGAGGTAAGACTGTATATCTGACCCTCTCCAAACCCCGCAATGGTAGGAGCCTCCTGCACTGGGCTAGCCCTTTTACATAACAAATTAACTTCTGGAATGACTGATGTTTAAAAGAACATAGAAGCTAAAACTTCTGTTTGAGGTTATAACATAGTTTTGGTAAACCAGAAGAAGTTCCACTCACCAAGTCATGGGATGATCTTTTCAATTCAGACAAAACACTGGCTGAATCACCTCTAATAGGACAGTTAAATACCTGCAAGTCAGATCAAGAGTATCAAGTGATGACAAAGGCATCAAAAGGAACAAGCATGCCATACACAAATATATATATATATATATATATATATATATATATATATATATATATATATATGAATATATAAATATTCTAACAAGAGAAAGTATACGTGCAAATTTGGAATTAAAAAAATGCACAAATTGGAATTATGTCTTACCGCAAAACCAGCAAAAGTTAGCCCATTCTCCACCATGTCTCTATCCAGGCTTCTAGCTTCACTAACCTTCAAGCAGTAAACATATAAAAAGCAACTTAAATATATATATATATGTGGACGAAAATAAAGAAAAATTGGCAAATGAAGATAGATAGTTGGATATACATACATACATATATATATATATATATATATAGAGAGAGAGAGGGAGAGAGAGATTATATATCAAAATGCATTTTGAATTTTACACTCTCCAAAGAAATGCAAGTTGTGATCGTAAATTCTATAAATTTAAACTATATTGCAAAAATCAAATAAACTTTGGAAAGGAGCGAAGCATTCAAACTTTGAAAAGCATACATGATTAAATTAAGGGTTCATTTTGATTTACGATGAAAACTTTCAGATTTAAAATTTAGCATTCTTCATTCAAAATTCAGATGTAGCAACCACCAGAAAGCCTTTAATCAGAAGAAAACCAGTGTCAATAACATAATCATAAAATAAAAAATAAAAAATAAAACAAATAACAGATATAAAAAAATATGCACGGTGCAGTTGTCTTTTATTACAAAAGAAGCCAGCACACCCATTCCCTATAATAATGATAAAGTTACCAAAAAGTGGACTTTCCAAAAGGTGAAGATATTGCAGAAAGAGGTGATTCTTACTGTCATTTCTGGAAGGGACTTGAAAGCTAGAGCCAAAACACGAGATCCTTGGCGTGTGTATTTCTTGTAGGTGTTAACATATGATGCCGGCAGATCAGTAAGTCTATCCTGAATGGTTTCTGGTGCACCCTGAAATGGAAGAGAAAACTTGCTTACAAGAAATATAATGAGAGACCCAAATCATTTAAAAGCTGAATTGCATAATCTATCGCTTCTTGCAGACCACATATTTATTCCAATTGCTGACATAGAGCTGAAAGCAGAAGAAATTTTTGATAAATGTAACATATTTTGAAGATCCGATAACAACTACCAATCAGGCGAACAACAATTTGGTAGGCCTTAGTGAGAGACTATAAGCTTAAATTTTTTTATAGATTTACAGTTAAGAAGGTAAAGTGTCATTCATCCCAGCCAGTAAAGAATGTCAGTTCACAAGATGTAAAGCCATTAAGTTGACTAGTATATCTTGCAAAATGTGAAGCCTGAACAGCTCAGATAGACTCAAGTGATTGTCAGTAGGCAAGGACCTCCAAAAATGTAAAGCCAAACACAAAATTCAGAAAGAGAAGCAGCCTCCCCATTTGAAAATTTGATTACAAATGTCTCAATATTATCAACAAGCGGATGGATGACTGAATTTATTCATTCATAGGTCCAAAGCGCTAATGCTCGATTACTCAAATATATACATGTCAGAACTCATCCAATCAACTTCATACTAAAAATGGGAGATAGCTGACATATTCCTGCAATAAACTACATTAAAGCGGCATGTAGAGAAAATTACTCGAGAAATAATAGGAGTTGAATTAAATAATAAAAATTTCATCTGCAACTAAAATAAGACGATGCACCTTTTCTTCTTCATTGTGAGCATTATTGGGGTTTTAAAAATACTCATTCTATTGCTGGGGAAAATGAAAGATTTAACCTTAAATAAACACAATCGCCATTCCAAATTTCCACATACCTTCACAAAACAAAAGAACTGCTCCTGAACACGAACAACAACCGCCATTCGTTTCAAGTGTGATGCAAAATGGTGTCTCTGCACAATCTGAACCGCATTGCCAGCTCCCCTACATTGTAAGGAAAGAATTACACAAGCACTTAAGGATCACAATGATAAATATTGACAGCCGAGGAACCTGCAACTAATGCCTCCTACTAATATAATTATTCACACACAAATACATATTATAAATGAAAAGAGAACTGAAAACAGAATTTCAGAGGCTAGACTATAAAATACTACCTCCGGCCCACAAAATTTTAAAGAATTATACATACAAAAATATAATTTTTTTTTAAATTTGAGGGGGGAAGGGGGAATTTTAAAATTTTTAAGAATTAAACATATAAAAATGCAATTTTTTAAAAGTTAAGGTGGGGCACATGCCCGGCCTTAATTGGCTCCTTCACTGGACCCACCATAGAAGGGTATATTTGGAAATTCATTCTCTACCGCTATAATAAAAAAAAACATTAAAAACTACCCTCTTAAAAAGTTAAGTTCCCAAAAAGGTAAACTTTTTGTGGGACAGAGAGAGTATATTCACAAGCATATATGTTTGCACATATTCACACAAACATATTTAGAAAAACATTATCGAGATGGACTATAGGGGACCTAAAAGACAAAATACGTCCAAAATCCAAATTATATTTGATTATGCAAATATACTTTTAAAGAATCACAACCACACAAAAAAACCTGACCATTGGTCAAGTTTGTAATCCTTGAGTAGCAATTGTCTAACAAACATTATACATGCACACAAGGTTTTTATGTGAATATGCACACAAGGTAGTCATACAATATATTCACAAGCATATGTGTGCACCTAATCACACCCCACACACACACATATTTAGAAAAATGTTATCGAGATGGACTACACGGGACCTGAAAAGGAGAAAATAGGTCCAAAATCCAAATTATATTTGATTATGTGAATAAATTTTTAAAGAATCACAACCACACAAAAAAACCTGACTGTTGGTCAAGTTTGGATCCTCAAGTAGCAATTGTCTAACAAACACTATTACCTGCACACAAGGTTTTTATGTGAATACGAACACAAGATATTCACATAAAAAACAAAAGAGAGAGAGAGAGATTGTCTAGAACAACCAGTTTCTGCTCAGAATCACCAGCAGTTGATTTTTGATGACATACAACTTTATTCCTGGTTCCAATCCCTGTCATGATTGCAGTTGTTTCCACCCACGTCAACAGACCTCACCTCACAGTATGTCATATTTCATAGTGTGTGTTAGACAATTGCTACTCAAGGGTCACAAACTTGACCAACAGCTAAGAAGCACGGACACGGATACGGGACACGGATACGACACGACACGGACACAGCGACACGGCAAATCCAAAAAAATTAGGACACGGACACGGACACGGCAAATAGTATATATATATATATATATATATCAGCATTAATAATTTAAAAAAAAAACACTGATATGTTTAGGTTGGAATATATATATATATCACTGATATGTTAGTATATATATATATCAGCATCTTTAGGACACGGACACGGCGAATTGTGGCATCTTTAGGTTAGTATATATATATATCACCATCTTTAGGGTAGTACAAAACAAAAAATAGAACATATCAGCATTAAAAATTAAAAAAAATTAACATATCAGCATTAAAAATTTAAAAAAAAAATCCAGAAAAGTGTGTCCGAGCTGTCCGAGCCGTGTCCGAGCTGTCTGAGCCGTGTCTGTGCCGTGTCCAAGCCGTGTCCGAGCCGTGTCCAAGCCGTGTCCAAGCCGTGTCCGAAAATAAAAAAAAATAAAAAAATTCCAGACACGTTTTTTGGCGTGTCCGACACGTGTCGGGGCGTGTCCGACGCGTGTCGGACACGGATTTTTCGTCCATTTTGGAGTGTCCGTGCTTCTTAGACCAACAGTCACGGTTTTTTGTGTGGTTGTGATTCTTTATTAATTTATTCTCCAAAAAAAAAACGGAACAATTTCACACAAAACGCAAAAGAATTACACTCACATGTTTTATAATGAATAAAAAAAAACTCATCGGCATTGCATTGCATGCCTTTTGAGCGTCTTTCTTTTGCTCACTCACATCTCTTGTTCTCTATTATACCATGTGTTCTCAAGCCCTTTTATAGAGAAAAACTTCTACAAGTTCAGAATTTAATGGGCCAAGGTTCTTGGATGATCAGGATTAACATTAAAGACTCAATTGGTCCACACATTCAGTTCTTGGACGATACATAATTTTCTTTTTTATGAAACTTGGGCATTCTTACTTATCAATTGGACATATATTTTGACTCCAGTTCCAAAAAAAAATCTTCTAAACAATTAATCAATTTAACAGTTCAATTCGTTAATCTGTGAAGTTTGAGCCACCTGATCTTATAATTAACTAATCTAAATCCTAAGGCATCTGCAGCTGATCAAGTGATATACAAACATAATATGACCTAACAAAGATTTTAATGCTGAATATGTCTACAATGTCCTAATATATACATATAGGTATATAAAAGTAATGCTACTACTTTTGGTCCATTTAACAATCCTTTTTTTCGTTGGGGTGAGGGGTGGGGGCTGGCTTTGGTATATGTTCGGATGGCTAACCCATCCACACACAAGTCTGTAGCGATGCAGCAGCAGCAGGCAGCAAAGAAGGCAAACCTTCACGATGACACTGAAATCCACCACACCAGACAAGGCCCTGCGTGCTTACAAACACTGCAGCTTCTCACAGATAATCTGCAGCTGCTCTTCATAGTTATGGCTACCATGGGGGATCATAACCATGCCTAACAAGTTCCTATCACTGCCATGACATATTCCACTGCTCAAGAATGTCCTAGAAAACCCACTGCTATGACATACCTAGTCACTTAGCCAAATTGAAGGAGATGATAATGGAGTGGACAGGAAGAATTGGGCAGCCTTCTCCATGCATCATGGCCCCCATGGTAGCAACCCACCAGGAAGGCTGTCACGGAAATAAGAAGAGATGAATATGGCTTTCTCCCTCCTGAATTCTATAAAGAGAATCTCCCCTTCCCTCACCTTTTTTTCATCCCATGTTGACAAATTTCACTTCAACTTATGTTCTCCATATTATATTTGTCCTAAAAAGATTCCCTCGAATTCTATAAAGAAAAACTCTCACCTCCCCTCCACTTTTTTTTTTTTCATCCCACATCGAGGATTTTGCTTCACCTTATATACTCCATAATCTCTTCAGCATTTTCCCTAAAAAGATTCAGTTAAAAATGTAATCTTTAAATCTGCATACACAATCAGCGAGACGAATTATAACATTCATAAATTAGATCATGAAAGGAAAACTACAGATGTTTGAATCAATTAAATTAAGCTATAATATATAGTAATTAAGTACCAACAAAATGATAACAAATCGCAGCTTACTTTTTTGGCATTGCCTTCTCATCGGATTTATATGACCACTCTATTCCCTTAAGTGCAGCCTTCTCAAGAGGATCACCGACCTACAAGCAGTGATGAAGCAATAGACTAACTATAGCAAATGGCAGTTCGATACATGAAAGTTTAACTAAAAAGTTTCCAACACAGAATTATTATTGCTTAACAAAAACACATGCCAAGACTAGACAACATCAAAAGCTCCCAAGCCAAGCCTGAAAAGAGTAGACTAGACGAGTTTCTTCATGATGTAGACAGTGTAGTACATTTTTCTAGTGGCATACATAACGTAATAAATTTGTACTACACAACCCTGGAACAACTCTGCGAAGACAACTCCAGTAAAATATATTAGGAAATGAATCTTAAAAGTCTTAAAGTCATTTCTGTTGTATCCAGTTATAGAGCTTTTGGAGACATCATTAATGCCTCACACCTGGTTATGCAATTTGGAAATGCAAGGCCCATAAAAAGGTGGCTTTATATTGTTCGAACATTAGCTTTAAACAAGACCTTCAAGGATAAATGGCACCAACCAAAGGAAGATCGTGACACAAGGAAGACAAGAAAAAGTGGACAAGTCGGTGTGAGTAGATGGATATTCCCAAAAGATGTGACGATGTGTGGTACAGAAGCTTCACTGTAGTGCTGCAGAGTACCAGCATTTGTTCATCTATTGCTCACCCCTAAATCCACTTACGGAAGTTTAAATTCTATATGTGGAATAAGGTTGGATATAACTATTGCCATAGAGGGATCATTCATTACTATAACAAAAAAAGTTCCCCCTATAGAAAGAAAGGAATTGAAGGACATTTGGTCAAAGTGAAGCTTCAAAGTCGATTGGAAAAGAGATGGATGGTCGAATTGGTTTTCTTTAAATTCTCTTGCAGATGGCATTTGGTTCTAGTGTTGGAAATCTGGAGCCTCAAAACTCCATTAGAAATGTACGCGATCCAGATTGCAAACACCTGTTTGCAAACCACAGAGCACTTTTCACAAGCCTGTACTTCAAAACTGATGAAATACAAGGTCCATAAAAGGGAAAAATAGAAGTGATAGAATTCAGTGCTACAACTGTGTGGCATTGCAAACAATAGTGTTTCTAATTCACAAACAAATGCAGGAGTTTTGATCACTATCTATCCAAGGTTTACGCTCATACCAGCTTGTTGTCCACAAATACCAAGGCATGACAAGAAGCAAGAATTTCCATTGTCCGGACAGGCACTTTAGTCATATCTGTTTCTATATCCATGATGTTCGTCAATCCAACGACTCCAGAGAACTCCTGGAATTAGAAGCACAGAGAACTCAAAAAATGAAAGCGTCAATCAATAAACAAGTACAAAAAGGCAGAGTTAAAACTGCCATACCATGTCATCAGATGTGAGTGTCCCGGTTTTATCAAAACAACATATATCAACCTGCAGAAGGGAATGTAAAGTAAAATAAAGAAGAAAATAGACCATTTAAAGAATATACATAATGTAAGATAAATGAAACATAGATATGAAATTTCCTTTCTAGTTTCTTTACTTTTTACCAATAAACCTTCTTTCTGATAGAGAAAGGACTTTTCTTATAGGAAAGAAAGAAATATGGCACAAAAGATTATGGATATAAAAATATAACAAAAGGCACCCAAAGAAAGAATCCGAGTACAACCCACACAAGAACTATCAGAAAACAATACCACAAATTTAGCACATGCATCTAAAAGTAAGTATCCAATAAATAGACTAGAACTCAACCATAAAAACCAAGAGAAAAAGGTAGGCAGAACGACTATAATTCAAGTGCAATATCTATCGGCATATGCAGATCAACTTAATAATGATAGAAACATTATTATACAGAGGAAGACAAAAGATAAGGAAAGTTTAACCGTTGCATTGTGAGGTTAAGCAGAAAATGAAACCAATAATGTAAAAGTTTCTCTCTCTATGTGGTAATAAAATACTGCCAACCTCATCGTGGACACCAGCTGAAACTCATTCCTAAATGAAAACTATCAGAACAAGCAAACCAATCCTATGATTTATGCTACAGAAGCATTAGCATGATTAGTAATAATTCAGTAAGAATATAACTGTCACCTTTCCAGCAAACGGAATACGAAAAGGTTCCGTACAAAAAATCCCACGCCGAGCCAGTGCAATTAGAGATGTATTAACAGCTATTGATAACTCCATTGGCAACTCGGGGGGGATCACAGAAGTAATAATTAGTGAACAACTAAGGAAAAGTTTGTATTTGCTCCTAGTTGGATCCTCCAGCCCCTGCATCAAAGATTTTCCCGTTACCATAAAAAAGAATGAACGAAAAAAAATGCCGAACACCAATATAATTGATGAAGAAATTACATAATATATTCAGATTGCATCAAATTCAACCAGTAGCTGTACTGGAAGCATTTATATACCTTTTTAAGTACATAACCAGCTGCTATTACTGCAAATACGACTAAGAACAAAATAAAGAACCCACTTTCCCAGCTGTTAGCAGTAACCTATCACAAGGTTTAGGATCGAGAATTATTATACATGAAGGATTAGGAGCAACAATAAAGAGACGCCATAACACCAATGACTTTTTCAAGAAGTATGAAAAATCATTTACCCTCTCCGTAGAAAATAAAATTGTCCGCATTAGTTTCCCTTGGCTTGTTTCAAACCCGGTACGTAAAACAACAGCCAAGCAGCCACCATCAGGGGTTTTCAGATGAGCGGTCTGACTCCAGTGAGAGGAAAAAAATTCAGAATGAAAAAAAAATAACATTAAAACAATATTCATGAAAAAAAATAGTAACCAAAATGAAGGACCTTATCTGGTGTATGCTGCAATATCTTTGTCCCACCAAAAAGAACATGGCTTTTATCACGCTTAGCTGACAACTTCTCCTCACTTCCCCTACCTGTGATTGAAACCTGAAATAAATATCAAATTAAAAATTTGAGAAAATCAGGTCATAGAAACCAACAACCACATACATAATTGCTTCAGATGCAGCTCCTCCCAATTAATAAGTTACATAGATTATTTTTTCCTGGTAAGTTGCGTAGACTTGCTTATACAATTCCATGAAAATATAATTATAGAAAAATAAATAAATAAATTCCATGCAAATACAGCTCTCACCAACTATTGGGTTATGGAAACTTGCTTCATAAGTTCAAAAGGGAATAGATGGAGGCTGTAGCTGCCATCATCTTTAAAAAATAAACAAGAACTATGCAATCTCATACCCCACAGCACTTACACATCCAACCCCCCCTCCCAAAACAAAATTAAAAATGTATTACCATATCTATCCATATCGATACTACTATTTAATGTACAAAGAATTTCTATTACTTTCATAATTACTTCCATAAGAATACCAAACGTTGTCAATTATCAAAAAAAAAAAAAGAATACTAAATGTCGTCGGTTATTAAGTATATTATTTATGTAGGCAGATAAATATATGAATAATCACTGTTCATGAGAAAATCTGAATTTTTGTTGAATTATTTCCACTCAATGAGGAAGCATGATTACTATGTTACTTTTATAATGAGAATTCTTTTTCTCCAAATATTTGTTAAACCTTCTAGAAATTGGGTTCATGAAGAATAAATCTCATCTACTTGAACACTACTGTAACCACTGTTGGCGAGAAGGGAAAAAAAGAGGGGAGGTGGGGGTCCATAGTTATGTCCCGCATATTACCCTAATTCTACAGTTTCTACTACAGTAATAATTTGATTCCAAATAGTGTAATACACTATTAACAATTTCCTACGAATGTATTTGAAAAATTGGACGCACAAAAGCTTCTTTTTCACTGATCATTGTGCCATTGAGTTGCCTTTTCGATTGAAAACACTTATTTTAGAAGTGTATTTATGTGTACCTACTTTTGTGTGATGTTTATTTGTCTAACAATTAGCAAAAAACCATTCTTTGATTAGTTTTTCATTATTGTTTAATTATATTGAAAATTATTATCATGAAAAAGTTTAATAAATTAAGTTTTAGTAGGTTATTGGTCATAGAGAAATGTAAAATGCAGCAGAAGTACAAATATAAAACCACCAAAATCTAGACATAACTATCTTATATTTCCAGATCTAAACTTCCAAAAAAAAAAAGTATCAGGTATAAAAGTTTCAAGAGTTCATAATCAACAGAAGGTAAAAACGAGTAAATGGATAGAGAAAACCACCTTCCACTGGGGTGTAGACTCGCCTGTAAGAATGGCTTCATTCACAATAGCACTCCCACCCAATATAAGCATGTCTGCCGGTACAGACTTATCTTCTCCATTCTGACCAGTAGAACGTCCAACGGACACAACATCCCCAGGCAGAAGATCTGTTCCAGAGAGTTTCACCCACCTATAATTCCCAAAATTCAACAGTTGAACAAAAAATTTGCAAAAGCTAGAAAATAAGAACCAAAGATATATATATATATATATATATATATATATATATATATATATATATATAAGGTAGTATAATCAACGTTGAGATCACATACTTCCCACAGCGATGCACCATTAGAGTCTGCCCATCCACTCTCACACGTCTTAGCTCAGTTAGAGTTTTTAGACGACTTTTTGCCATTGTTGACTCAAACATGAACAGCATAAATAGGGTGAACAAACTGTAATACCAGTATTCATCCAAACACCAGAGACCCACGCAGAAGACCTTAAAGGTTGGGAGCAGCATTATAAAAGGGTAGGTCAAGAGTAAGGAACTGAATAGAAATGAAAGCAAAAGGGCATAGGGAAATTTTATTGGAAAAACTTAGCAGCAAAAATGTTTAAAAAACAACAAACCTGGAATACAAAAAAGGGCTCCATGCAGTGCTCTTTCATTAATTTCTGGAACGTGGGTTGAGGATACTCAAACCTACATGGACATGAAACATCCAAGTTAGGAGCAGAAGGAAAACAGAAAAGGTAAAAACAACAATAAGAAACAATCAAGTTCCACCAAACTCAAGTCTTTATCCATAATAAAAAGGTGTTAAATTTTTAATGCAAATATACCTTCAGTATCCAAAAGAAGAAAAACAAGAAATTCAATTCGGCCAACTAATACTGCAAAAAGTACTTGGAAACAAAGTAGAGGTTGCACGTGAGGTGAATATGCATCAAATACACAGGGTACGCATAAAAGTTAAACTGGAGCCCAGATAAACTCCACGAGAAGTTTACCACTTGCATCTGATGCAATTTTTCTGCTTATAAACATTTATTGGGCTAACGCTAAAGTAATTTTATATTACTTGTATTTGTTGCAGTAGTAGAACACTTGGCAGAACAGAGCTTTGGGAACACCCTTACAACAGATATACAGAGAAGGTTATGCTACATTTCAAATATCAAACAAGTTCCAGTACAAAATAAGCTCAATGCTACACAAAAAGGAAACAAGCCTCACGCAATAATGAGGATCACTGAACACTGGTAACGATAGAATACACTAGAGGAAAAAATAGACACATGAAAAGATTTTTAATCAAACAATTACAAGTATTAACAGATAAAAGATGTGACAATAAAAGGTAAGGAAACCCACATATTCCGTCCCCATTTCTCAGTTGCAGTAACAACTTTAGCTTCAGAGCCATGGCCAGTACTTTTGAGATAGTAGCCAAATGTTTCCTTGGTAGGGTAAGGAAGTTTACAAAAAGTCTCCTTCTCCTTTGAAAAATTGAATCGTTGCTTTCTAAAATCAAAATAAATCTCTTCCAGATATACTGAGGATGAAGAATCTGCCAGCTGCGCAAGAGAAAAATCATGTAATCAAGCAAAGAAAAATAATTGAAGCGACAGTTATTCAGTTGCAAGATAGACAACTGGTATAAACCTTTTTTTCTGGTAAGAGTGCAGGTTGACCTGTGATCCAAATAAATTTTAGGAACGGCATGGTCCAAAATTAAGAAAATGGATGTTCGCTTGCAGAATAGAACACAAAAGCTCTAAGGCAAGAATTCATGAAACAATAGATCTCAACAAGAAGATGCCCAATATTTGTTCAACCACAATTTACCACATTAAACTCTGATAAAAATTAGGATACATTACAAAGAAAAACGGTTGTAGTATGTGCATTATCTGGTAAAAACAACTAGAGAATTTCACTTAGAAGGTCATTTTATTGTTGGTCAACTTGTTAAACAAATTATACGCAACGAGAAGATCCAGTTCAGCCTCTATATCTAATCCAACTGACTATCAGTCATCTCGTAAATGGACATCTACCATTATTAGAAGTGATTTGGTACCAAAAGAGTGGTAGTCTTAAGAAAGGTCTTTCTGGGATGATTAATGCTGGTTTATTTGTAATTAGAGCCTGGCTTTAAGTCACCGGACAGGTGTAGCGTTATGTTATAGTATGGAAAACCGCAGTCATGTAATTTTCTCAGAAGTGGGAGGATTCTGGTGTCATAATACCAAACCCTATCTATTTGCACGATCGCGCATGGGCTCATATTAACAGACATGAGGCAGAGTGCTCTACCAATGCAGCGTCAGATCATATTCTTGTTGTACTTGATAGTGGGGATCAGAAGAGAGGAAGGACTTCAGTTAGATCTTAGAAATTTAGAATATATGGCTAATACAAGAAAAAAAATCAGATAGTCCTTAGATAGTAGGAAGCTAAAGGGTGGAGGGCTCTAAGCTTTTCATTTATGGCAGACAAGGAAATGGAAAAGAGGAATTTGGCTATCTAAAAGTACGAAAAGCAAGAGAAGTGGGAGCCATTAAGAAACTTGGTATCAAGGGGCAAAGAGTTCGTCAAAAGAGTACAGGACTAGGTGGGAGGAATGAAGAGAGCTTGAGAGGATTTCCACAAAGAAAGAAACGAATTTGAGAAAAAAAAAGTCAGGAGCAATTTGGTTGAAATGCTCATAGGGGTTGGAAAAGCAATCGTCAATTAAAGTGGGATCGAGCCAAGATAAATCATCAAGGCAGGTATTGTGGATTTCTAAGAGAAGCTTTATGTGGAGCCAAAACACTGGAGACAACAGTTAAATGCACTGGAGTTTGTGGTCATTAGAAAGGAGGATGGGGAGTGGCAAGAATGACAAACAGCATGGAATCCCCTTCTTAATATTTCTACATATCTCTACATTTTTTAGTGTTAAAAAGGAGAAGGAAAAGGATAACCCAAGAATCCCCATTCAGGGAAGGTGGAAAGAATGCACCTGTTAATTTATTAACCACTTCAAGCCTTACACTTGATAACAAGGAGATTATAATCACCTAAATATCACATATTCTCGTGTGAAATAATAAAACCCAAGGCTCCCTTCTCTATTCACTAAAAGTATATATAGTTATTACAATGAGTAAAACTAGAAATTGCTCAAGTATCAAGTAATAAAAATTGTTCTGTCCCACTGTCACCAAGTAAAACATATAACTGAATTCCTAAGATGATATGTCACAATACTCAGGGCAAAAAAATGTCAAAATATTCCCAAAGACACCACAAACCACCTAAAATAGATTTAAACCTCCTACACTTTCCAAATAAAACTCAAATGAGGACTTGGCTGACTTCTCACTCCATGAGCTCGTAACGTTATACAAAATTATGCCCTGCTAATATACAGACTTCGTTTTATCCATGCATTTTTTTAAGATACTAATGTATCGACAAATTGGACTTAACAAAAATATAGCTTTTTATGAATTTCAAGTTACCACCTGATGGTTCTTGAACAAATGAGAACTTCATTTAAAATTTCAATTTTCAAAACAAAGACTTGACGTACAACCTTCTGGGTATGAAGTGGCACAACTTCCTTCGAACCGCAGAACTTAGCCGGAGTAATTTTGCATGCATCTGCATGGTGAACATCAATAACCTGCCAAAGAAAACACCAATTCCAACATCACAATACTATTTGAAATAACCAGTAAACATAAGCCGCATGTTTCATACCATTAGTTAGCATCAATAAACTAAAACAAAACCCAATTATCTGTATTAATAATAGTTTCTATCAGGTCAGGAGCAATTTAATAATATATAGCCACTTGAAATCTGGAAAAAATGACCATTTCGAAGTAAATGATATAAACACAAAATGCGCAAGTGATCTATATCTGCTCACCATAGCCAACACTGAAATAAATTATATAATCAGATCAATATCTCGAACTGTCAGTTAAGAGTAAGTGATCCATATAAAGTTATAAACTTCAAAAACCCTCCAAGTTAGATATTTGTTTTTGTTCCGACAAATATAGAAAGCATGAATGAAGATAGAAATGTAATGTGAGATCCTAATCAAACAACACCGGTGGAAGCCCAAGAACTTGCTTTTATAATCAACAGGAAGAAGTTACACTAGGTATTCTTCACAGAAAAATATAACCCAGAAAATCCTGTAATACTTTAACCATAATATAGGAAACATATAATAAAAAATGATGAATTTGAAAAACGAGAAATATAATCTTTAAACAAATTTCAATATATATTATACCTTAGAATATTGGACAAAACATTTGAAATCCACTGACCAAACAGTGAAGAGAAAAACCAGAACGTGAACAGCTACAAGACCACCAAGAACTATGGAGGCATCGACAATGTCTAAGCTAGGAACAATAGCAATTATCCAAGCAGCATATATAATGGCGAAAGGCCAAACGTCCAAGCGCCATGACAAGTGTCTCTTCCTCAGCAAATCAACAATATCCACAACTTTCCCACCAACATGGAACCTGGACATCTCACTTCCCAACTAGTAGGCCAAATTCCAACTGGACAATCCTCTCCGATCACACTTCTGCAAAATAGAAATTAACATCATTTAATAAACCAATTTCACAAGACGACCAATTTGACAGACTTGCGGAGCATCCTCATGGTCTCTAGTATATTGTTTCGTACCAGTAAATATATTTAAAGTAAAATGAGGCAGCATGAAACTTTGAGCTAAATCTTATAACATTTTTCATGCATAATTACCAGATGTCATGTGAAAAATATCTACTAAATTTGACTGATTTGCGTGATGACCAGTTCACTAAAGATAAAATATGGTCTGCCATTGTAATTTCGTGGGTACCAGAGTTTGAGCTCTAAGAATAAACCCACAGGTCCCAAGTTAAACACCAATCCCAGATCCAATTGATACCGGGTGTGTGACCGTGAGAGGTTGGCCTGTAAGTGTATCAGTTGGGAATTACTCCTGCTCCAACAGGGAAAAGATCACAAAAGCAACCAAAAAAAAAAAAAAAAACACAGTATCTTCTGCCAATGTCTATTACCCTGCCTTATCCCGACCACTTTGAGGACCAAAAAAAATCTCCAAATCTCATACAGTTTTTAGTCCATCCCATCTGTTATGGCTCAGAGAGAGAGAGAGAGAGTGGGTGCTTCTACTCACTCCGATGGGATGCCCATACATTACCTTCAAGTTCATCTTCCTATCAATAGAAGATTGCTTAATATGTAATACCCAATTTTTGTTTCTCTTTTTCTTCTGAAAAACAAATATATATACACACATATACAATCAAACCCACATTCTATGCATAGAAGCAACGATAACTCATATATACAGATTGATTGATGGTGAGAACACAAACCAAAAGTTGTTGAGTGAGCCTTTCCAACCGACGTGAGAGGAGGAGAGGAAAAGGTAAAAGCAGCCTAGGGTTTTAAGTTCCGAAAGAGTGCGACTAGGGTTATTTAAAATCTTTTAAAATCGGATTTGTTGCAAGATAGAAGAATCAAGGGTTAAGTTTATCAGTCGGGTATAGATATGTATGTGTATCATGTGTATATAATATAGAGAGAGAGCTTGCTTACCAGAAAAGGGACGAATCGATTGTGTCCTGTGACTGATAAAGCAGAGACAAATCGGGAGAGATATTAAACGGTATTCGGAGTCGAACACAAAGGAAACGAAAGAGTCGCAATGAAAACGATCCCTCCTCGATTTGGAAAATCAAATAAATAATGGTGACCTTTTTTACAAAAAGAAGATAAATAAATACTTTCATTTATGTAAAATAAAGAAAACAACAATTATAAAAGTTATTCGACCTTAATTTGAACTAATGTAATATTATGTTTGTTTAAACTATTAAAAAAAAAAATCAAAATTGAGTAATTTGAAAATTGAATATTATTATTTGATATTCCAAAAAAATGTAATTATCTTTTAAATTCTATAAAATGATATTATTGTAAAATACTTTAAACAAATTGACTCTTGACCTTTCACAAAAATACATATATATAATAATAATAATAATAATGGGCATTACTCGAGTGCCCTGCACCCAACTCCCCTAGTGTGCCAATATTATTGTTGTTGTCTGCATTTTTCTTTTTTATGAAATGTCTCAATAAAAAAAATAAAAGTCAAATTTTATCCTTAAAAATTATTAAATTCAAATGAGATCTCAAAGTACAAATATTTATTTTCCCCTTATGGATGAATAGTGATAAGGATTTCGTTTATGGGTGGACAAAAAAATTGTTGGAATCAATAAAAATTGAACCGAACAGTTGCCTCAATTCGGTTCTTTTACAATTCGGTTCCGATTTTAATTTTAAAATGAGAAATTTTTAGTTTACGGTTTCGATTTCGGTTTTGATTCGAAAATCATTAGATTTGAAATGGACGGTATACTATATATCTATATCTATATCTATACTAATATTAAATGTGTAGTGTTTCAGTATTTATTTATTAATTGATATAAATTCTATAAAATTCAAAATTACCTAATAAAATTAAAATTAATTCAAATTAACAAAATATAAAAAGAGTTTAATTTAAATTACAAAGTCCCACATTGATTTTAAGTAAAAATGATTACATGAAAACCTCTTATAAAATTATAGAGCTAAAGAAATAATAATCACACTTTCTCGGCCTTCTAGCTAAGATCAAGTGTAGTGTTAAAATTTTTTGGGTCGACTTTTTGGCTAACCTTTTTTAATCTTTTGGCTAAGATCAAGTGTAGTATTACTTTATCGGCCTTTGTGCAAATAGTTTTTAGTATTTATTTATTAATTTATATAAATTCTATAAAACTCAAAATTACCTAATAAAAAATTTAAATTAATTCACATTAACAAAATATAAAAATAGTTTAATTTACAATAAAGAGCTCTCATTAATTATTATATCCCACGATATAAATTCTATAAAACTCAAAATTACCTAATAAAATCAAAATTAATTCAAATTAACAAAATATAAAACGAGTTTATCGACCTTTGTGGGAAGAGTTTCAGTATTTATTTATTAATTGATATAAATTCTTTAAAACTCAAAATTACCTAATAAAATTAAAATTAATTCAAATTAACAAAATATAAAAAGAGTTTAATTTAAATTACAAAGTCCCACATTGGTTTTAAGTAAAAAGGATTACATGAAAGTCTCTTATAAAAACTATAGAATTAAATAAATAATAATCACACCTTAACCTTTTGGCTAAGATCAAGTGTAATACTAAATTTTGCAGTATATTACTACTCACACAAAATATAATAAATTCAAATTATACTATACTACTCAATTCAAAACCTAAACCAAACCCAAATGCACCAAATAATTATTTTCACACTTGAGAACAAACATATTTAAATTCAGTACCATATTTGATTTGAACATTTCGAAATAGCTTTAGAGTTACTATTGAAAATTCAATCTATAATCAATTGTGCTTGACCAAATGGTCCATATATTAAATTATTTGTCAATTTTCATATTTTTTATTTAATAAAATCCTTGATGTAAATCAACAAAATATAAAAAGAGTTTTTATCTATACTATTATTAAATGTGCAAAGAGTTTTAATATTTAAGTATCTATTTATATATAAAAAATATTTATTAATTGATATGAAAAGAGTTTTTATAAAAAAAAAAAAAAAAAAAAAGTCTATCAAACTCTAAAATCTATCTAATAAAATTTAAATTAATCTATTTATCTATTTATTATTATGAATTTGTTAGTCAAAGAAAATCTAATTAGAGAAAATTATTAATATAAAAAATATTTATTAATTAATATATAAAAAATAATAATTTTTCTAAAACTCTATCACAAATTAACTTTTTTTAGAAAATTAAATCTAATTAAACAAGTATATATTTAAAGAAAATAAAATAATTTCTATAAAATTCTATCACAAATTACAAATTTTATTTTCAACAAAACTCTATCACACTAGACAAAGATGTAATATTTAAAGAGTTTCTATAAAATTCTAACACAAATTACCTATTTATATATTTATTAATAGTTTTTAATAAAAGGAAATCTAATTAAACAAGTATTATTAATATAAAAAATTATTTATTAATTGATCAAAAAAGAGGTTTTAAAAGAGTTTATATAAAACTCTAACACAAATTACCTATTTATCTATTTATTATGAATTTTTTTAATAAAAAAAAATCTAATTAGATAAAAATTATGAATATAAAAATATTTATTCACTGATATAAAAAGAGTTTTTAAAAGAATTTCTATTAAACTATAACATAAATTAATTAATTATTTATTTATTACAAGTTTTTTAATAAAAGAAAATTTAATTAGACTAGAATTATTAATGTAAAAAATATTTTTTAATTGATATAAAAAATAAAATAATTTTTCTAAAACTCTACCACAAATTACCTTTTATTCTCTAAAAATTACCCAATAAAATAAATCACAATAAAATATTTATTAATTGATATAAAAAGAATGGTTATTTTTTATGGATAATTATCACAATATAACCGGTCTGGCCCAATTATGATTAAGTCATTATTAGGAGAGGACACATGTCATCATCCTATTATTCCAAGAAACCTATAAATAGAGGTATAGAGGAAGGAGGAAGGGTAAAAAAATTGAGAAAAATCTAGAAATCTAGAATTACAAAAGTTTTGCCAAAGAGTTTCAGTATTTATTTATTTATATAAAAAAAATATTTATTAATTAATATAAAAATTGTTTTTATCTATAAAATATAGAAGTTCTACAAAAAAAAGAAGTTTTATTATTAAATGTGCAAAGAGTTTCAGTATTTCAGAACTTATTTTTTATATAAAAAAAATATTTATTAATTCATATGAAAAGAGTTTTTATAAAATAAAAAATAAAAAAAAAACTCTATAAAACTCTAAAATCTAACTAATAAAATTCAAATTAACCTATTTATCTATTTATTATTATGAATTTTTCAATAAAATAAAATCAAATTAAATAAGAATTATTAATATAAAAATATTTATTAATTGATATATAAAATAAAATAATTTTTTTCTAAAATTCTACCGCAAATTAGCTTTTATTATGAGTTTCTTAATAAAATTAAATCTAATTAGATAAGGATATATTTAAAGAAAATAACATAATTTCTATTAAACTCTATCACAAATTACATATTTTATTTTCAATAAAATTCTATCACATTAGACAAAGATATATTTAAAGAGTTTATATAAAACTCTAACACAAATTCACTATTTATCTATTTATTATGAGTTTTTTAATAAAAGGAAATCTAATTAGACAAGCATTATTAAGATAAAAAATTATTTATTAATTGATATAAAAAGAGTTTCTATAAAACTCTAACACAAATTACCTATTTATCTATTTATTTGGAGTTTTTTAATAAAAGAAAATCTAATTAGACAAGATTTATTGATATAAAAAATATTTATTAATTGATATAAAAAGAGTTTTTTAAAGCGTTTCTATTAAACTGTAACACAAATTACCTATTTTTTTATTTATTATAAATAGATTTTCAGAAAATAAAATAATTTTTATAAAATTCTACCACAAATTATCTATTTTATTTTCTTTAAAACTCTATCACATATAACTTATTTTTATTTATTTATTTTGAGTTTTTTAATGAAAGAAATCTAATTAGACAACGATATATTTAGAAAAAGTAAAATATTTTTTTAAAGTGTTTATATAAAACTCTAATACAAATTACTTATTTATGTATTTATTATGAGTTTTTTAATAAAAGAAAATATAATAGACAAGAATCATTAATATAAAAAATATTTAATAACTAATATAAAAAATAAAATAATTTTTTCTAAAACTTTAGCACAAATTATCTTTTATTATGAGTTTTTTAATAAAAGAAAATATAATTAGACAAGGATATATATTTAAGGATATCACAAATTAACTATTTTTTTTTCTTTAAAACTCTATTACATATAACTTGTATTTATCTATTTATTTTGAGTTTTATAATAAAAGGAAATCTAATTAAATAAGGATATATTTAAAGAAAATAAGATAATTTCTATAACTCTATCACCTTAAACAAGGATATATTTAAAGAAAATATATAATAATATAATAATACATATAAATAAAATATAAATGTTAAAGAATTTGAACATTTCAATATTTATTTTTTAATATAAAAAGTATTTATTAATTATTATAAAAGAGAACTCTATCACATATAAGTATATAACCCTTGTATTTATCTATTTATTATGAGTTTTTTAATAAAAGAAAATCTAATTTTACAAAGATATATTTAAATAAAATAAAATATTTTATTTTCTATAAACTATATCACATTAAATAAGGATATATTTAAAGAAAATAAAATATAACCTAGGGTCTTCCAAAAACCACAAACTCCATATAATAAATTTTTATATCAATTTCAATCTAATTTATGATTAGTATAATTGAGTTTCTATTTTAAAATTTAATTAAAAATTAATATAATTGAATTTCTATTGTAAATTAAAAATTATACTAAATTTCAAATTACCTAATAAAATTCAAATTACCTAAAATAATTTGTTATTTTGCAAAACTCAAATATTTCACTATTAAAATAAAAAAATTATTAATTAATAAAAAATAAAATATAAATATTTTAGTATTAATATAAAAGCCTATAAGAATTTATTAATTCACGAAACATAAAC